TGATATTTGAAATCAGCGTAATATGCAAAACTAGGAAAAAAGCTTTTTATATTTGAAATTAGCATAGCATAAAAAATTTCAGATGATGGAAAAAAAACTTTTTATATCTGAAATTAACATAACATACAAAAAACTATAGCTGATAGAAGAACATTTTAGATTAAAATCAGTATAACACATATTTTAGAAGTGTAACGTACACGCGTAACCAAAAATTAAACCTTGAAGTCTTGTGTAATTTAAGTTCATGTTCTTATAGATTAAATAAAGCAACAAACACAATTTGATTAAAACTATCATTTCGCCACGTTTCTTACATTAAAAGCTTTAATACATTCATTCAGCGAGTGATTCTATGTGGTTGAAATTCTAAATTGCTAGCTTTTCACGAAAAATTGCCCGGAAGGAAAAGGCTACTACAACAATTGCAAAACTTAGAATCCTACATAAAACTAAAATGTTTAAACACATACAACAAAGATAATTTGTTCTTTGAACAAATCAATGGCAAGATCAAATATTTATTTCTTTGTATCCTGCAATTGCGGATATTGAATATAGACCTCTTACTAATGCCTAAACAGTGCAAGTTACTTGATAAAAAGGGAAATAAAAATGACGGCATTTACAATTTCTGGTGTCATTAATCTTCAATGTGTGCACATATATGGTCATGCTTCTTATATTTCATATATTCTTATATTTCATGCAATTTTACAGGAGACGTATGAGTTAAATGTCCATCAAATTCATTATTTTATAATTTTAGGCTGTTGTGAAAACATTTTATTTAATAGAAATAAAACACTTTTATTTGATAAGTTTAACCGAATTATGTTATAAGTTAGCAACCGAATTTTAAAACACTATCTTTTGATGTAGATTCCTTCTGCACTAAATTGATTAATCGATTTGAAATTTGCTTTAAGTTATCGGAATACAAACATTAAAAGTTCCTTGTGAAGATTACAATTTTAGAACTGATATAAAGCTTTAATTTTCTGCATTCCAATAAAAATATGTATATCAAAAATGTAAAAGAAAATGTAAAAAGAAATTTAAAAAAATGTAAAAAAAAAAATTTAGCAAAAAGACAATTTTGTCTTTTTAAAATATATTTAAATACTGACTTGAAACAAAAGATAGGACGATTTGGGATAAACCAATGTTATTTGTATACCTCGATAATATTTTAGAAAGTATTCTCGTGATTAATTATGAATATCATGTCTTATAATAAATATAGAATGTTCGGTAATTATAGATAAGGATAATATCGTGATCATTATCGACAACGGTAAATATCAAGTCGATAATGTCCTGAAAATTATCAATAACAATTAGTTAAAATTTGGATTTTAAAAAATAATTTTTTTTTTCGTTCGTTCTTGTTTCATTAAACGTAGCGAGTTACTTTCGAACTTCCGGCAAATTTACGCGCGATTACTTTTTTTAGTTTTTCTTTTTTTGTATTCTTTTTCCTTATTTGTTATTATAGTGAAACTCATTTTAACACATTTTTTTTTCCCGATTTGTAACTAGCGTGACGGGGTATTGGAATGATTTATGGAAAAAAAAAGGAAAAAAAAGTGGTAGTGCAAGTATTTCCTTTTTTTGAATTTTTATTATTTTTGTAGTTGAAAAAAAAAACACAATAGTTTTGATGATCTTAAAATATTAATAATATAAAGATTTATATTTGGATCTGAAGTGTAAGATACCATGCCTTTGTAAAGTTAAAGTGTAACAGTAGGAACTATTCATTTATTCGCGTACAGTGCGCCAAGAAAGAAAAGATAGAAAACGGACCACTCTGAATAACTTTTGATCTAATGATCCGATCTTCAGGTTCTAGGACTCAATCTTAATGGTTAAAGTTGGTAACCTGAAATATGCTAATTAATTAGTGCAAACAATATTTTAAGTTATGAAATCAGACACAAAATGTACTTTCTCTAAATAAACATACCTTTTTTTCAACGGATTCAGATTTCTACCCCCAAAATATAGGGGGTAGCCGCAATCTGAGAAATGTGGTCTGAATAGTTTGGTCACCTTAATGTTAATTTTACTCTTTGCGTATTGCACCATATCTAGAGAATTTTTAAAGTGAACTGCAAAATTTTTGCACACAATTAGAAAATTCCCTTATCCAGAGATAATTCATGCAAAAAAAAAATAATTTTAGTAGTTATTTATTATTTTTTTATATTATTTCATTTAATAATAGTCGAAAATTTTTTGAATCGTGAGGTATTAATTTTTTAAATCATTTCAAAGTATATAATTTTACATTGCAAAGTACAAAATTTGAGCAAAATCGATTGAATAATTCCCCAGAAATCGAATTTTAAATATACGACTTTTTTAAAATTCGATTTCTCTGGAACTATTCGATCGATTTCGTTCAAATGTTGCATTTTGTGATGTGAAATTACATACTGGAAGATGATGTAAAAAATTTTATACCTTACACTTCAAACTTGTATCGACTATTATTAAAATAATAATATTTATTAAAATTTAATTTTTACTTGGATAATTGTGTATATTGGTAATTGCGTTTTTCATAATTGTTTTTCAAAAATTCGTTTAAAAAATATTCCAGATATGGTGAAATACGCAAAAAGTAAAATTAGCATTAAGGGCTCCAAACTTCGGATCGCTCTCCTGACCAAACTATGGGGACCATATTTCCGCAGCTACCCTTGATATTTTGGGAGTCAGAAATCCGAATCCGTTGAAAAAAAGGTATGTTTATTCAGAGAAAGTACATTTTTGTGTCTGATTTTGTAACTTAAAATGTCGTCCCATTAATTATTTAGCATATTTGAAGTCACCCTCACGAACCATTAAGATTGAATCCAAGAATGTGAAGATCCGATCATTAGATCAAAAATTGTTCAGGATGGTCCGTTTTTTTATTTTATTTATTTTTGGCACACTGTACATTCTACGTCATCACATTATAAAAAAATCAGATATTAATGTGTCAAATAAAAGTAACTTTTAAAAGAATTTAGATGTATTTTCCTTTTTAAAAATCGCCATGCATTTTTATTATTTTCCGCAAGGATGCATGGAAATTAAGCTTTTTATTTTTCGATGAAAACTGCTATATTATTTTAAAATTTTAATGAACACATTTTAACACTAAATATTAAGAATGGCATTATATTTTGTTAACCATTCGAATACACTAAGAAAAAATGTATGGTTGCAGAATATGGTAACATTTAAACGTGTTTCTGACTTTTTTCGAACAGAAAAAATCTCGGTAACTTTTATCGATTTTGTAATGATTTTGATTAAATTAACTATAAAATATGGTTTTATAATGTGTGATAAAATTTCGTAAATGTGGTAAAATTTTTTACTTTTATCATGATACCTTAGTGCATGGCATGATACCAATTATTCGATTAAATTTACCTTTCGTTTTTGAATTTTTTCCTAAAAGTAGGGTCATGCAATTAATTTGTAAAAATACTAACTCTCACTCAAAATTTCTGAAAAACGTGCGTTAAAAAAATAAAATAAAAAGAATGTGTTTTCTTTAACAGCAAGAAAAAAAGCTTTACATTTTTAAATCATATTTTTATTTATTTTATTGTGTATTTAAGGTTACTTAAGTTAATATAAACAGCGCAATACACAAATCTATTAAAGAAGTAACATTCTATCAAAGTTAAGGTTTCGAGTATCAAGAACTTAGAAAAAATCTTTTAATTCAAGTATTTCTATAATGCGTTAACAATATGTTATCCGTTTTACAATATATTGTCAGAATATAATAACAAATCGCGCATATTTGAAAGAGAAACTAGCCAAAAAAAACATGCTACATTTTAGCATACAATTAATTTGCAAAAATACTAACTCTCGCTCAAAATTTCTAAAAAACGTGCATTCAGAAATAAAAAGTAATAATGTAATTTTATTAACAGCAAGAAAAAAAGCTTTACATTTTTAAATCATATTTTTATTTATTTTATTGTGTGCTTAAGATCACCTAAGTTAAAATAAACAGTGCAATACACCAATCTATTAAAGAAACAGCATTGTTTCAAAATTTAAATTTCGAGTATCAAGAATGTCCGTTTTACAATACATTGTCAGAATATCATAACAAATAGCTCATATTTGAGAGAAAAACTATCTAAAAAAATACAAATTAAATACATTGTCCGAATATATCATAACAAACCGCGCATATTTGAGAGAAAAATTAGACTATTTTTACCTCACTGAGTATTTTACCTCACTCACATAATTGAGAGAAAAACTAACTAAAAAAACAACAAATTAAATACATTGTCCAAATATATCATAACAAATCACCCATATTTGAGAAAAAAAATTAGCCTATTTTTACCTCACTCTCATAATTGAGAGAAAAACTAACTAAAAAAACAACAAATTAAGTACATTGTCCGAATATATCATAACAAGTCGCGCATATTTGAGAGAAAAATTAGCCTATTTTTACCTCACTGAGTATTTTACCTCACTAACATAATTGAGAGTAAAACTAGCTTAAAAAACTGCAAATTAAATGCATTGTCCGAATATATCATAACAAATCGCGCATATTTGAGAGAAAAATTAGCCTATTTTTACCTCACTCACATAATTAAGAGGAATACTAACTAAAAAAACAACAAATTAAATACATTGTCCTAATATATCAATACAAATCGCACATATTTGCGAGAAAAACTAGCCTATTTTTATCTCACTTATCGTTTAATAATAATAATAAATACAATCCCCCCAAGTAAAACTCTAGAAACGCAATCTAGATGAACTCAAAAATTATCAAACAAAGTAAATACAACGGGAAAAAAACAACTAAAAAGATAAACATTACTTATTCCCAGAGTCACTGAAAAAATAAACGAGAAATCTCATAATTCGCAAACTAACGAAGAAAATAAAAAACGCGTAAATCGAAAAACGAAACCACATTGCGCGCTCTTGAAGGGAACAAGTAAATGAGCAAATAATATAATTCGTCAGATTGAGAGGTTAAATTCTATTGGATGAAGTTGACACTCCTGCTTGAGAGCAATGGAAGGGGTTGCGTAAGCCCGTAGAATAAAAAGCTTCGATCCGACTTTTTTAGAGTGGAACAAGAGAAAAGATCAACAATCATGGAGAACGCTTTCCTTATGAACGGTAGTGATAATACCACTATGGGACCGTCGAAAATAGTAATACAACCTCTTCTTAAAACAGTCCATGATATTTTATTGGTTGTTTTATTGGTTGCAGTGATGTTCGCTATGGGGTGCCATATTACTTGGGAAGACGTAAGTCAATAATACAATTATTATTTTTGTTAATTAATGATTTGTTTGTATAATGATAATTCAATTAGTTTGTCATGTAAATCAAATTAGTCTTTTTTTTTTAGTCTTTTGTGTTTTAATTTCTAGAATATGATGTTTCTAGAAAATGTTTTTAATTATTTCGTTTAATATTTTGAAAATGATAAAATTTATTTAAATTGGTAATATTTTTTTAAAAATTAAAAAGAGCTGAGTTTATTTAAAAATGCTTAGAGCAATTTTATTAATCATGCTTAAATTCATTATGATTTTTAAATTGAGCAATCATTTTCAAATTGTGTTGACGAGTGTTTTTTATTCTTATAACACTTTCAAACAATGCACACATTTTTACCTGCGAACAAAATTGCTCAATATTTTCATAAATTTTTATTTTATTATTCATTTCCTAAATAAGAAGTGTTAACAAAAATGATTAGTGGTATACTTAAACTTAAATACTTTAAAGCATTAAGGTAAGACAGTAACGAGGGCATCTAGGTCAACATTAAAAAATATATAATTTTTATCGCTTTTAATCAAAGTTTGTTTCAATGAGTTTAAGAACCACAAGAAAAAAAAATTTTATGTAAGAAAAACTGCACAAACTATTATCTTTTTTAAATTCTTTTCACTTTCATACATAATTACAACGAATCCCTATAAAATATAAGCAATTGTATGAAAAAAATAAATTATTCCGGTTTAGTAGAATCGCTAAAGATTTTAACAGTGGTATTTAATACAATCTTCTACTATAAAAGCATTAAAGGAGCAATATTATCAACAATTGTTTTTTCTTTTTCTTTTTTTTCTTTTTAAGTTTAAACGTTAAATGTTACTACTTCAAAGTAAATATTTTCATTTTGTGGTCAACTTTATTAGACTTGAACGTAGGGAAGATGTGCATTTATAAAAATCCTAATCCCCTTTTAAACATATTTTTAAGTAAAGGTATGTAGAAAATTCTTTATGTTAAAAAATTTATAACTTCTAATTATATTATTTATTACTTAGACGAAGAATTTTTATTGAATACATTATTCATAATTTTTTACATTATTTTGTATTAATTTAGGTGAAAATAAGTGAAAAATATCATATTTAGCATTTTAATAACGTATGGTTATGAAATACTGCATGAAACACTGGTGTCTTTTTCTGCGTTAAGGGTAATCTGTTCCAAACGTGACTCACTTCCAAACAATATTTTTTTTTCAATTTTAACTTATTTGCAGTTATTTAGGTCTGTGAAAAACAGTTATTCGTCAATGAAATTTTTTTAACACACAAAATCAATTATTGATAAATTTTCAGATTGATTATTTTTCTTGGATTTTATATTTTAGTACAAATATAATTTTATAATCTGACAAATTTTTTTAATAGCTATTAGATTATTTTTTATACTTAACAAATACCAAAACATATTTTGCTTGAAATTAGAGCGCCAGAAAAAAAATAGAAAAAAGAGACATCGGTGTCTCAGCTGCGTCAAAGGATTAAGCAATCTTAAGTTTTCTTCAATATGAAGAATTCTTAAATATTTGTGACCGACAATCAGTGACCAAATTGTGACAAAAAAATTTGGAAATCAGTTTATTCGTCATAAAATATTTCTTATTTGCATTTATTTAGATCTATGAAAAAGTTATTCGTTATTCAAATTTCTTTAATTTACGAAATCAATTATTGATAAATTTTCGGATTTGAATAAAAAAAATTCAAACTATTTTTCTTTGATTTTATTTTTTAGTACAAATATATTCTATAATCTAACAGATTTTTTTAGTAATTATTAGGCTGCTTTTTTATACTTAAAAAATATATACTTGATAACTGATACCTGAATACCTGTTTTTCATACTTAATAATTAATTATAATTATAAAAAAATCATCAGTTAAATAATAAAAAATAATTTAATGAATAATAATTTAAAGCGTCAGAAAAAAAATAGATAAAAGGGACATCGAATTCCCTTCTGCGTCAAAGGGTTAAATAATCTTAAGTTTTCTTCAATAGAAAGAATACTTAAATATTTGTGACCGAAAACTTTATTTTTAAAGTTATTTGGATATCAGTTTATTCTTCATAAAATATTTCGCTCCAGTTAAATATTTAACAGTCAAAAAAATTAATTGCATGTTAACAACAATGATAATGGATATAATATTTTAGTGTCCTCAGTGGTCAAACGGATGTTCACTTTGGATAGATGCCTCATGTCTCGCCTCCCCCAGTACCACACTTAATTACTTTAAAAGTTAAACTTAAGTTCCTGCATCAGCCTGATGTTTTTTTTTTTTTCTTGTCCGAGTTGGAAGTTAGCTTTCCTGCATCCTTCTGATGTTACCAAGCATTCTTCAGTATTTTAGCACCTCGATTTTCCCTTCTTTTACCAGTGACACGAATTTTCACATTTTCAATACACAAGTAATTTTTTGTAGAAATGACAGCTTGTCTTTTGTATAATTTTTTTCTGCATCACGCTTACTTAGTTGATAGTTGAGTGTGTCCCAGTTGAAAGTTAACTTTGCTGCATCAGTTTGATGTTTGCCGAACATTCTGAAATATTTTAGCTTCTCTATTTTTTTTCTTCCTTAACCGGCCACACGAATTTTCATATTTTCAACACATAAATAAATTTCTTTAGAAATGACAGCTTGTGTTTTTTATAATTTTTTTCTGCATCACTCTTACTTAATTATTTCGAGTAGGATAGTTGAGTGTGTCCCAATTGGAAGTCATCTTTCCTGCATCAGTTTGATGTTTGCCGAACATTCTGAAATATTTTAGCATCTATATTTTTCCTTCATTAACCTGCCACACGAATTTTCACATCTTCAATACATAAATAAATTTCTGTAGAAATTTCAGCTTGTGTTTTTTGTAATTTCTTTCTTCAGGAATGATTGTTATTTGAACAAATAATAATATAGAAAGGAAATTTTAAAAAATTTGTAAATAAAATTTTTTAATTATGTTTTGCAACTTATGTAGTATAATATGTTGAAAATTTAACGCAAAACGTTAAGTAAACTTTATTTTAAATGAAATATAGTTTACATTTATGTGTAAAACATATATAATAAATTAATTGAAAAAGCCTTGTTTGGAGTTGGAAGTTGACTTTCCTGTATGATTTTGATGTTGGCCGAACATTCTAAATATTTTAGCATCACGATTTTCCTTTTTTTTCCCACGAACTTTTGAATTTTCAATACATAAGCAAATTTCTGTAGAAATTATAGCCCGTGTTTCTTTTCTTTATTATTGTTATTTAAGTGAATTAAAATAAAATTAAAAATAAAATTTTTAAAGCATGTTACTCAATTTTCTTAACTAAACTTTGTAACTAATGAAGCATAGTATATCGAAAATATTAAGAAAATGTTTTTAAGTGAAGTTTATTTTGTATGAAATATAGTTCAGATTTATGTGTAGAAAAAAACAATTTATTTAACTATTTTGTTGGCATTGTGTCAGAGTTGGAAGTTAGCTTTTCGTTATTTTTCTGATGCTAATTGAACATTCCTTAATATTTTAGCATCTCGATTTTCCCTTCTTTTACCAGACACACAAATTTTTACATTTTCAATACACAAGTAAATTTTTGTAGAAATGACAGATTTTGTTTTTGTTATTTTTTTCTCCATCACAATTACTTAATTATTTCGAGCTGGATAGTTCATTGTGTCCCAGTTAGAAGTTAACTTTCCTGCATCGGTCTGATGTTGGTCGAACATTCTATATTTTATCATCTCGATTTTCCCTTCCTCGACCGGTTACATGAATTTTCACATTTTCAATACATAAATGAATTTCTGTAAAAATAGCATCTTGTGTTTTCGAGTTTTTTATAATTTTTTTCTTTAGAAATTATTGTTAATTGAACGAATCATAATAAAATTAAAAATGAAATTTTAAGAAACATGTTAATCAATTTTTTAAATTAAACTTTGCTACTAATGTAGTATAGTATATCAAAAATTTGAAGCAAAATTTTAAATAAAATATAGTTTAGATTTATGCGTAAAGCATACATAATTAATTAATTAAAAAAACCTTGTATGTGTGCATAGTTTCTGAGTTGAAGTTGGCTATCCTGCATCATTTTATTGCTGGCCGACATTTTTCTATATTTTAGCAGCTTGATTTTCCCTTCTTTTACCAGTTACACGAATTTTCAATAAATAAATAAATTTCTGTGTAAACTACATCTTGTTTTTATATTTTTTTAGAAAATATTGTTATTTGTACGAATCATAGTAAAACAAAAAAATTAAATTTTAAAAACATGTTAATCAATTTTTAAAGTTAAATTTTGTAACTAGTGTAGCCGATTCGGAAAATTACCAGACTGTATGGTAATACCATTTCTCTCTCAAAAAAAAATTCATTATTCTGGCTAGTAAAACTAAACTTTACGGTATTTAAACTCTATGTTTGATCATTTTTGCGTTCATGTGCTAACGGTTGACCGGAAATTCCGATTGATTGATTTATTTATTAACATTTTATTTATTTTTTAAATATTGGGTTTTATATCGATGCATTTTATCAATTTTTTATGCATTCAAAAGAAACTTACAATTTGGGTACTTTTTTTTTAATTTTAAATCGATTTCCGAAATATTATTAAGTCTCCCAATTATTCTGCTCCGAAAATACTAACTGCCATAGTTTTTTATTAATATTTAATTCTAATCTAAATAAAAAAAAATTTAAAGTCATCATGTAGGTATAGATATAAATTTGAAATAAATATTCTAATAATTAAAAACCCATTATACTCTTTGTAAATATAATAGGCATCTCTAGATAAGGCGATGTCCCCTTTCACCACACTTTTCCCCTCTCTATTTTGTGTATTTTTTAATTATACTATGCAATAGCAATATATACAAATGAAAAATTGAATGGAATCTGTTGAATATTTCTTAAGAAATGACAGTTTAAATATATTTTTCCAGTTTTAAT